TCCATCTATCCATCTATCCATCTATCCATCTAGCTAGCTAGCTAGCTGGCCAGCCTTGATCGCAAAACACTTTTATGTTTTGTATTTTTACAGTCAGCGAATGCACCTTAGATATGCTATGTCACACAGCGTTGCTCAGCTGGGAAGTTCCTTTTCTGTCATTTCACTCAGTACAACACACAGTTGTATATGGGACATGCGCGCCTGGCTGAAGCCACCTCTAATCACGTCTTTAGACCGGTGATGTGGTGACGTTGAACGTCTGGTGACAGGCTCCGCCTTCACCCTATAAGTTCGGAGTCACCAGCGTCATTACACTGTTCTATCGCCCTTCACCTCGTGATAGTCACCTCTAAACCTGAGCTCACATAGCTGCTGCTAGTTAGCCCAGCTTCTAAGATTCTCATGCTAGCTTTACTGGTGCTAACCGCGTTACCCGCTGGTTCATGTGTCTGCCTCTCGACGCTACTTAAGTGACCTTTATTTTCTGCTGAAAATCTGTTTTGTGGTTCACGATGAGCACAAAACCACCTCCGAAGAAGCCGAAGTCTTCTGTTCGCCCCTGTCTTGAAGGGTGCGGCTTTAAGCTTCATGAGAAGGACCAGCATGAGGCCTACCCGGCCTGCCTAGGAATCATTCACGCTCGACGGGCGCTTGTGGAGCCCGAGTCCTGCCGGGCCTGTGCTGGACTTTCGTGTCCGACACTGGAGAGGAGAGTGAAATTCCTGGAGAAAATGCTGGGGGAAACTGCTGTTTTCCGACGAGACCCGCTGCTCTCCAAATCTAGCTACAGTGTAGCCTACCATCATCAGTGTGTGAAGGAATTATGCATGTAAATTGTAAAGCATCTAGAAAAGCGCTGTATAAGACCAATGCCATATGTCTTAAGGCAGATTTATACTTCCATTCTCGGGTCTCGCTCTCAGTTTTGTGTGACAAAAAGTGTGTAACTTTGGTGTGTTATCTCCTGCTGACACCCCGTCTTGTCCATTGCCCACAGTCAAAACGTTGATGCAGTTTGCATTGTCTGATTAGTCAGATCTTTGTGTGCGTGTTTATTTAAGCAGAGCAGCTCATCCCTCTGCTCGTCATTTTGCTGAAAATGGTTGTTAAATTGGCAAGATAGAACGTGCAACCAACATTTGTGTCTTCTTTCAATCTCCACAGTAACAAACACAAGCCTCTCTTCAAATGTCTGATACATCATCGATTGAAAAAAACAACAACCAACTATTTATCCTTCTGCTACTGTTGTTGTGTATGCTTATGTTCAACATATGCTGCACTGGGAGTGGTGCTTTACTCCTTCCGTCTTCTATGTTAGTATTAGGGGTGGGAATCTTTTACTATCTCACGATACRATTAGATTCTGATTTTTGGGGCCCCTATTAGATTCAAAATCGATTTTTCATTCAAAACTGATAATGTGAGACYGTTTGTCGAGTTCCCAAAGTGCTTCATCATGTCAAACTCAGACTCATTCAGTAAAAAACAAAATGAGCTCAAATCTTAACATTTAATGAAGACGGGGGTCAGTTGAAGCTCTCTTTCCTCCAGTTCTGTAGTTTCTTCTTTGTTTTGTTGCTTTTTGCACATTCATATGTTCCAGAAACATCTGTGTGATGACGTCTGGATGTCCCATGTAGTTACAACATGGAGGCTAACAGCTGTTGGATTTGCTTTTTTTTTAAATTGATTTTGTGACGTTTTAAATAAATTCTGAATCTTTGTAAATGAGAATCACGATTCTGATGTGAATTGATTTTTT